ACACTTTCCCCAATAAAAACCTGTGGATCACTCAGACTATCATATGAAAAGTTCTAATCAGCTGTAATGGACCCAATAGCTTTAAAGAGATTATATCAAGTGAGTTTTATAGCCATGGTTTGGCAAAAGAAATGACAAAAGAGAAAATTAAACTGACAATGCATAGCTTTGTTTAATTGAAAGGAAAAGGTTAAGTACAGCACCTTCTGAATCAAGATAATTGTATGTTACATAGTGAAACTTATATCTTTAATGGGAATGGAAGACAGTGGAGAAGGGGGAAGAAATTCACATATTACTTGAAAGGACTAATTAGTTTATAAAGCACATTCTTTTTCAGGCACATATTCCATGCACCATCAAAGGCAGTTGAATCCAAAGAAAGTTTAAATGGCTTTTCAAAAAACACATTTTTAAACAATATTTTTTTAAAATTTCCCTATAATCCTTCAGATGTGTTTGAAACTCTCATATAGTTTTGGTCTGAAGATTATGAGAACCAAAATCCTACCTAATTATAGGATACAAAGTTGTAGAAGACTGGAGATCAAAAATATACTACTTGGAGCATTTACTAAATTTTCTCATCTTCATTCATGTCTTGGTCACGTCTTGAATGGACTACTGCAAAGCACCGCATGTGAAGCTGCCTTTGAAGTATGTCTAATAATTAGTGTTGTTTCCTTTAGAGTTCTTCAATTTCAGCCAGGAGAGAAAGAGACGGAGACAGAGAAAAAAATATCAGCAGCCTTTTTAATAAATGATGTGAAATGTTACCATTATTTTATGGACATAGGTCTTAATGTAATATCTAGATTATGGTATCAACTGGGGTAATCAATGCCCAGCCTAGGATAAGGCAAAGATAAAACATGCAGGTCCATAGTTTGTCTGCAACAATTAAATAATGCTTTTTAAGGCTGTGTTCAAGAAGTGTTTTCAGGAAAAGTCAAACAAATTAAAGAAACAAACAAATTAAAATGGCAGCCAGTCAATGCAATGTAAACCCCATTCCATTTGAACATGTATTGATGTCGCAGAAAGGCTAGGCTATCTGGAATCAAACTTTGCGTCCAATCCTGCTAAGTGAGAACTAATCAGCAACAGATCTAACAAAGATGAAAAGTAGACCTGGGCATCATTTAATTAAATGATAGTATCCATCCTCATCACCTTTATTGATCATTCCAATAAAATCATGTGGTAATGGTGGGGTACAAAATGGAACTGTATGCAGTATAAAAAACAAAGTGGAACAGAAATTTTCCAATATGACCCTTCATCTACTCTCAAAGTATTGTCAAAGCTTTGCCTCCAATTGCAATTTACTGTTGTGGTTAGCTGGCAGCAGTTGCAGACGGCTGAGGAGAGCGAGGACTCAGATGAGAGGCCAAGACCATTAGGGAGTGGACTTCTGCCTTCAGAGATTGTGTGGGCTGGCAGCAGTGATGAGGAGGTTCCCGAGGAGCCTGTGCCAAGTGTGCGTGCATGAAGGATTGTTTGGAGGAAAGAATAGTTACAACAGCACGGGTGATTCGGGAGTAAGGCTGCAAGGTAACGGCCTCTCCTTCAAGAAGATAAAAGCCAGCTGTGAAATTAACCTTCTTTGCAGAAAGCAAAGAAGTTTTGAACTCAGCCTCGTGGACATTACAGTTGGTATTTAAAGACTCTTGTAAACTATTTCTTATCTGTTGTTTTTTGTCCGACTTAAAAAACTTGGCAAGGCTCTTTCTTGTTGGAGCTAATTAGTTGGAAGCAGCCTTTTATCTGTGAAGAAACAGGATTCTTAGCTGAAACTTAAACAGATTATACTGCTGCCTTTGTCTTGTGTTTGCTTTCTTGGAACCAGGTTTGGGTCAGAACATTTACTCAGCTAGTGCAAGAATATGATGATCAGTGTGAATACAATGATATACAGGAAGACTGATAAATCATCGTAATTAGGGGTTTTTAATCTTTTTCCGAATCTAATATTTATCTGAATTTCTCCATTATCCACTTGATATTACCTATTGGATCTTGTACATATCTGTCTTTTTTGAAACATGCCTATTCATTTAACATTTTTTCTTCTTCTCTGCTGTTTCTTCTTACCAAGATCTGAAACAAAAATTTGATTGGGTATAAGAAATTACTGCAGTGGTTTGCATATTTTCTTGAATCTTCATTATGGCTGTATCCCATAACTAAATTTTTACACTTTCTAGCCCACACAGTTTTGTTCCATATTTGCTGCTGTACAGCTAGTAGCATTTTAACAACCATTTCTCCTGTACTTTAAAGAAGTCTAATGGGTAGTCTAATGGGTATTTCATCTGCATATGGTGCTTTCCTGTCTGTCCATTTATTACCTGTCATAGCTCCCTTTTTTAGGGCAAGTTCCAAATAGATGTTGGATATAAAACTCAAATAGGAACATACTTTGCCAAAGAGCTAAGCAAAAGAGCTAGGTAATATTGGATTGAAATTAGTAATGTAATTCTCCCAAAAAATCTTGAAAATTAATCTAGAATTTAAACCAGAGACTTTTTGTTAGTGTTTATGAATAAAACATTGGGGGCAGGGGGAATCACGTCTTTTTTTTTTTAATGTTCACCTTTCTTTTGTGGGAGAAAGGAAATAGATATTATATTACAGTTATAAACTATGAGTTGAATAGAAGTATTTTTATGTCCTTGGAAGAAGAAGTTGGAAGTTATTCTTTGAATATATTTTGTTTTCCTTTCTTTTTCTTTATGTCTCATTGCATCTTTTTTTATTGTTAGTTTATGTAATTTTCATGGGTACATTTTGTAAAATTTAATACAACTGTAACTCAGATAAAAGCACAGTATAAAACAATTTAGAATATTAGAAACAGTGAAAATGTTAAGCATTAAAATTAAAAACCTTAAAAGTTACTTTTTTAAAAAAAGGGACCAATATGTAAATGGAGTGAAGATAGAATCTTGTCCTAATCTACTTATCGCCTACAGTGTGGGATGCCCCCATAGGAGACCCTAGCCAGTTGGCAGAAACAGGTTTTCAGGCCTTTCAGAAGGCCAAGAGGATGGAGGCAGATCTCACCTCAAGGGTCATCATATTCCAAAAAGTGAGAGACATGGCAGAAAAGTTTCTTCTCCTGAACCTACCAGCCAAATTTCCCTGGATTCCAATAGTATCCATAGCATGACCCTTCTGCCAGAGTGAGTGGGACAAGCCAATCCTATTGGTGCAAGATAGTTCCTCAGGTAGCCTGGACCATGCCATAAAGGTCTTTAAAAGTGATAACTGTTAAGTATGGAGAATAACGGAGATCAGACATCTGACCAGTGACTTCAACTCTTTAATAAAGTGATAGAACATAACAGAGCAATGCTATGGGCAGCAGTAACCCTTTTATAGGGTTAGCTGCTGCCTATTTAACCAATGAAAATGTGCAACAAGTTCAAACCACTGACCAATAAGGACAGTCCCAAAAGTGGCCAATCAGGGACTGGTTCTGGCCCAATCCCAAGTTGTTGTATAAGGACCAATCAAGTGTGCAGGTTTTCAACCCCTAATTTGCATTTAGGTTATTCACTTTTATTGATTCACAACAATAACCAATACCATGAATTAAACCCAGAAGCAAATGGACAATGAGTACAGTTTGCACAACTATGCTGTTACATGGCCACCAGAAAGGGTTCTAGAATTGTCCACACTGTTACATTCTGTGCCAGTTCTAGCTTTTAAATACTTTTCAAGTGTAGACTCCAAATGTGAGGTGTAATACTCCAAATGTGAGATGACCAGGTTATGAATGACTGAGTGCAGGGCTTTAACATCCAGGAAACAATGCAGTTGGCTCACAACACAAAGTTGTACAAAGTCTCTCCTAATCATTACTGCCACCTGTTCTTCAAGCAGGGGTTGTGAGTCTAGGAGACCCCACCGCCACCCCGGGTCTGTCTGGGTAGTGCAGTTAATTAATTGGCAGTCCTTCCTCCTTTATTTGTGAAAAGAAAAGCAAGAATATTTACATCCTGAATGTAAAGTAAATCTTGTCAGTGGTACCCCAATAGAATTGTATTCAAGGACTTTTCCTTTATGTTGATTGAATTAACCAGTAAGAATTGGAAAAGTGCAAAGTAAGTTGCTTTTCCAATGGGCAAAATTATACCCACAAGCAAAAGATTTTTTTTTAATGTAAACTCCATATCTATTTTAAGAATGTGTACATTTCCTAACAGTGATAACATGTTGAAAGTTTTGGAAATTTGTATTGCATTTGAACTATTTTGCAAAGTGGCATCAAGTGTTGTTTGCAACTCAAAAATGAGAGAAAATTAATATTTGAAAGTGCTTATTTGTGATTTTTTTTTTTTTTTGAAAATATTGACTTGTTCAGATTCTTAAACTGTTTCCTAATGTTTGCAGAATTTTGCATAAGTCTTAATTTCAAATAGTAATCTAATGTAAGGCTTCAGTGTAACACTTCAAGTAGAAATACTGGAAGACAATTTAAACCAAAATCTGTCTCCTTGGCTGCTTTTTTTTTCATAGAAAACTACTCAGTGATGTGAACACTGATGTACCTATAGCCTAGACATACATTTTCTACCTTATTCTGAATGAACTTTCCATTATTCTTGTCAATAATTGTCTTCTCATAGCTTCGCTATTATGTGGCTCTCATCAAACCATCCATTTTCCTGTAAATATTTGTATTAGTTCCATAGAAATGTGGTCACGTTTTAATTTCTCAGCTCATGGAGTATGTATTTCCTTTGGGTTCATTGTGAATTTTTTTATATTTATTTAAAATATTTTTTCCTTTAAACTGATTTAATCCTTTAATTAAATCTATTTTTAGCAGTTTATCAACATGTTATTACATTAATGCTAAACTACTTCAACTTAATGATTAGTTCAGGTGCACCAAAATAGATTCAAATTTGACTGATTCAAATCCTTCTGCCATGTGTTTCTTTCAAAACATACATTCTATCACTGTTTTCCTTCACTGTTTTTCTTAGCTGTTCACCTTTGGTTGGAGAGAAGACATCCGTCCAGGAGAACCTCTTCACACTAGAAAATTCTGCTTCGATGCAATTTCACACAGTAGTCCTGTCACACTTTATGACTGTCATGGTATGAAAGGCAACCAGCATTGGAGCTATAGGAAGGTTGGTGTTGCTTTGTGATACTTTAAAGGCATGCAGGGGTCCAGATAATTATGTAGAAGTTCCAAAGTTCATGTTAGCAGAATTAATACTGACATTTCTAACAGTTTATTTTAAAAATGCAACTTGGTGTACAAAGAACAATAGTGACAAGACAATAAGAGGACAAAATACATGAGATCCAGCTATGTGAAATCAAATCCAAATTACACACACAATTTACCCAAATATATGAATAAATTTACCATGTGGGATGCATACTCTATAACACTTCCAGTAATAGCAATAACACTTAGACTTATATACAGCTTCATAGTGCTTTACAGCTCTCTCTAAGTGGTTTATAGAGCATCAGAGGTGGTATTCAGCAGGTTCTGACTAGTTCTGGAGAACCGGTGGTGGAAAGTTCGAGTAGTTCAGAGAACCTTCAAATACCACCTCTGACTGGAGATTTCCCCTGCTACGTCCACCAAGCCACACCCACAGAACCGGTAGTAAAAAAAATTGAATCTTACCACTGGTCAGCATATTGCCCCCAACAATCTGGGTCCTCATTTCATCAACCTCAGAATGATAGAAGGCTGAGTCAACCTTGAACTGGTTAGGATTGAACTAGAAGTAGGTGGAGTTAGTCTGCAATACTGCATCCTAACCAGTTAGCATGATTATCTTTAGGGTGAACTTTCATGTTTAATGGTAATCTTACACCTCTGCTTAGGTGGGGATGGTTTTGGCAATAACATTTAGGATTTAAAAAAAAACCTTTTGGCAATGGGATAAAGATGGGGTTAAGGTTAGATTTCCCTGGGGTTTATAGAAAATGTTTTTATATCTTTAGTAAAAGTCTTAGGTTGTTATTATGGTGGCAACAGTCTTGTAACATTTCATCCTCGCTGCCACTGAAAATTCTGTGGCAGTGAAGATGAAATGATACAGGTTTTTTTCAAATCTGTTGTTCAATTAAGTTTAGCAGTAGCTTTACTATGAATGTTTATGGCCAGTGGCAGGTTAACAATTTTACTAAAGTGTGGACTATTTCAAGTAAAAAACTTATATTAGTAGAGGATGAACTTGGGCTTAGGCTTCTTTGAATGGTATTGTTAATTTAGGGTGGTTTTATAGTAGATGCTTACTTGTTTGCTTGCTTGCTTATTTATTTATTTAATTATTTATATCCCGCCTTTATTATGTTTACAAATAACTGAAGGTGATGAACATATTCACCCTCCTCCAACTTGTGAGAGTGGCCGCCCAAAGGCATTCAACTGGCTTTCATGGCTGAGGCAGGACTAGAAATTATGGTCTCTTGCTTTCTAAACTGGTGCTTTAACCACTGGACCAAACTGGCTTGAATGCTTAGGAAAATTCTTTTTTTATATATAAATTTTTATTAAACAACAAAAAAAAAAACATTTAAAAACAGTGAACGTGGTGTAATCATACTGACATACCTATTTGTCATACATAACTATTTTGGATGGCAAATAATACATATTTACATAGTATATACATTTATATATTCCAACAATTCTCTATATTCCTATATATATTCATATAAATAACAAGAAAAAATCAATAAAAATAACAAGAAAAAAATCAAGGAAACAGTTGGTCCACTAAAGAGAGAAGATGGCAAGGATGTAACAGGCAACAGAGAGAAAGAAGAACTGCTTACCTCATTCTTTGCATCAGTCTTCACGCAAAAAGAAACTATAGCTCAACCTACCAAAAACATAACTGTAAAAGACAGACCAGAAATAAAAGTTAAAATAAGCAAAAAAAAAAAAAAAATAGTGAGAACACCTGTCTGATCTTGATGAAAACAAATCACCGGGGCCTGATGGATTACATCCCAGAGTTTTAAAGGAGCTGGCAGAGGTCATCTCAGAACCACTGCACCATATCTTTCAAAAATCCTGGAGCACTGGGAAACTACCAGAGGACTGGAAAAGAGTTGATGTGGTTTCCGTCTTCAAAAAAGGGAAAAAAAACAGACGCAGGAAACTATAGACCAATCAGCCTGACATCAATACCCGGGAAGATACTGGAAAAGATAATTTAAAAAAAACAGATCTGCCAACATCTAGAAACAAGTAAAGTAATACCTAGCAATCAGCACGGGTTTGTTAAAAATAGATCATGCCAAACCAATCTTATTTCATTCTTCAACACAGTGACTAAATTAGTAGGCCAGCAAAATACTGTGGACAAAATATATTTAGATTTCAGCAAGGCATTTGACAAAGTAGACCAAAACCTACTTCTTAGTAAGGTAGAAAAATGTGGAATAGATAGCACCACCATTAGATGGACACGCAACTGGCTGGCAAACCGTACTCAACAAGTAGTCCTTAATGGGTCTAAATCTACATGGAGGGAAGTAAGCAGTGAGGTGCCACAAGGTTCCATCTTAGGCCCAGTACTCTTCAATATCATCATTAACGACTTAGATGAGGGAATAGAAGGGGAACTTACCAAATTTGCAGATGATATGAAGCTGGCAGGAATAGCTAACACCCAAGAAGATAGGCTCAAGATCCAGATGGATCTTGACAGACTAGAACACTGGGCCATATCTAACAAAATGAAATTCAATGTAGAGAAAAGTAAAGTCCTACACTTAGGCAAGAAAAACCAAAAGTACACATATAGACTAGGTGAAAACAGGCTCAATAGCAGTAACTGTGAGAGGGATCTTAGTGGACAACCAGCTAAATATGAGCCAGCAGTGTGCAGCAGCAGCCAAAAAAGCTAATGCAATCCTAAGTTGTATTAACAGAGGGATACAATCAAGAGAAGTACTAATACCACTCTATAAAGCCTTAGTAAGACCACACCTAGAGTACTGCATCCAGTTTTGGTCACCACATTATTAAAAAGATGTTGAGACTCTAGAAAAAGTACAGAGAAGAGCAACCAGGATGATTAGGGGACTGGAGGCTAAAACATACAATGAACGGTTGCAGGAACTGGGCTTGGCTAGTCTAGTAAAGAGAAGGACCAGGGGAGATATGATAGCGGTCTTCCAATATTTGAGGGGCTGCCATAGGGAGGAAGGGGTCAAGCTATTTTCTAAAGTGCCTGTAGGCCAGACAGGGAATAATGAATGGAAACTGAACAAGGAGAGATTTAACCTGGAAATTAAGGAGAAACTTTCTGACAGTGAGAACAATCAACCAATGGAACAGCTTGCCCTTGGAAGTTGTAGGAGCGCCATCACTTGAGACTTTCAAGAAGAGATTGGACTGCCATTTGTCAGAAATGGTGTAGGGTCTCCTGCTTGGGTGGCGGGGGGGTTGGACTAGATGACCTACAAGGTCCCTTCCAACTCTGATTATCTGTTAAATCTGTTAAATCCTAGTTTCTTATTTTAACATCCTTATCTTATTTTAGTTTTGATTTTAAGTCCTTCCTTTTTCCCAAGCAATGGTAAAATTTATCCCATACTTTATAATATTCAGTTTCATCTTTACTTTTTAATTCCAATGTTAGTTTATCCATTTCTGCACATGTCAATATCTTTTTAATTATCTTCACTTTGTCGGGAATTTCCTTGAGTTTCCAGTTTTGAGCATAGACTAATCTTGTAGCTGTTATCACATGTATTATTAGATACGTCATTTCTTTATTGTATCTCCCTATGTTAATTCACAATAGAAAGAGTTCCGGTTTATATTCGAGTTTGATTTCACCCATTTCCTCTAACTAACTCTGAATTTTATGCCAAAAATCCTGGGCTTTTTGGCATTTGGGCGCAAGGATAATATAATCCATTTTCCTGGGAACATTTCCAACAAATAGGAGATAAGTTTGGATACATTTTAGCTAATTTTGTTGGAGGGATGTGCCACAATACTTAGGATAATTCTTGATAAAAATTATTTGTAATTACAGTAAAGTTAAGGTTACGTTTCATTAGTTCTATGGTTAATTTTATCATAATGGTTAAAAGAAATTTCATATTTTTCAGTAGCATTAGAGTTTCTTTATATATGAAAAGTAAGGTTTTTCACTTAGGCAAGGAAAACCAAATGAACAGGTACAGATTAGATGAAACTTGACTCTATAGCAGTAACTTCAAGAGGGATCTTGGTGTCCTAGTGGACTATCACTTAAATATGAGCCAACAGTGTGCTGCAGCCATCAAAAAGCCACTGCAATCCTAGGCTGCATTAACAGATGGATAGCATCAATATCATGTGAAATGTTAGTACCGCTTTAAAAAGGCTAGGTAAAACCACACTTGGAATACTGCATCCAGTTGTGGTCATCACAATATTAAAAAAAAAGATGCTGAGACTCTGTAAAGAGTGCAGAGAAGAGCAACAATTATGATTAAGGAGGTGGAGTTATATGAAGAATGGTTGTAGGAATTGGGTAGGTCTAGTCTATTGAAAAGAAGGAATAGGGGCAACAGGCAGCAATTTGATGGGTGGCCACAAAGAAGAGAGGGTCCAAAGCACCAGAAGTCAGGACAGAAGCAATGGATGGAAACTAATCAAGGAGAAAAGCAACTAAGGAGAAAATTACTAAAGTTGAAACAATAATGGCTTGACTTCAGAAGTTGTGGATCTTCCATCACTGGAGGCTTTTAAAAAGAAACCTGACAGCCATCTGTCTGAAATAGTATAGTATAGTATTGAGCAGGGGGTTGGACTGGAAGACCTCCAACTCCTTTCCAACTCTGTTATTCTGTTAATCTATTGAATTTAGTGGATTTATACTTTTAAGTAATCACTCATGGGATTACACAATATAGGTGTGTTTTAGCCCTACTCTTAAATGTGAAGGATTGTCAAACTTAATAGATTCCTCAGGCACCATATGATTTTAATTCTTCTCCATACTTCTTGTATGTGTTTGAGGCACAAATGCATTCATTCCTCTGGGTTGTTACACAGGACAGTCTCTTCTTTTTTCTTATCACCCATTAGAAGTTGGATGATGTTTAAATTTTTTGCTGTGGAAAAGGATTCTGTTGTACAAATCCTTTATGCATCAATATTCTAACTCTTAACAATAACCAATATGGAGCTGCCTAACAATTAAAATCTTATTCATAGTGTTAGAAATTACAATAATGAAGGACTATGTCTTAATATAAACATGTGTATTAACACTAAGATTAATAATGGTGGCCTGACTAGATGCTAGAATAGAAGTAGAAATAAGAAATAGTGGGAATATTAGCATATATAGTTTTTATATAGTAGAATATAAGCAATAACTAGATGGAAAGATTAGAGGTTGAAAGATGGTATTACTATGTATGCTTAAATAATATTACCATTGGCATTAAAATGGAATATTGAAATATTGAATAACTACTTTAAAACATATATTAATACTAGGATTACATAAGCTTGATTAATGTAACAAATATTAATAATATTATTATTTCTACTTGTATCAAAATGCATTATACCCAGAGGGCATACTATTCATGTATTGATATTGATGTATATTTGAAAATAAAAATCCAATAAAACTTTTTTTTAAAAAAAAGAAATTACAAGGTTCTTCTAAGCCATGGCAATATGATTTTAAAAAATCTATTATTCTGTTGGATGGAGAAAGCCGAATAAGTAATTTGAGAATGTGGATCAAGTCACTGGAGAAGAGGCATATGGAATTTATAATTAGTGAAGGGATGGAATATATTTCAGGAAGGAAAGAAACAGCGGATGGCAGATATTTCTAAGTTCATATTTTCTGAAATTTTGACTTGAGGTTTTTATCTGAAAATATAACCTTGTTAAAATTTTGTGATGGGAAGTCTATTGACATTCATGTATGCTCATTTATTCATCCTGTTTACTGTTTATGCTGTAGTCAAATATCAGTTTGCATAGGTGAACCGATTTCCAAGCTGAGATGCTATCTGTAAGGTAGCTAAAAGAAACATGCTGGATGCTCAAATTATGTAAGCTTGCCCTATTTCTTTGAAGTTGGGTGCAAAAGCTCTGTTTATGTCAGCGAAGAATCTACTTTATACTGTAATTGAAGTTTCTTGTTCAGAAACACAGCCAGTTTCTTTCTTGCTTTCTCAAGCTGGGGAGAAAGCTTGATGACATTGAAGTCTTCATTAGTATCTAATGCTCCGGGTGTGACTGTGAAAGAGAACACATATCAAAGTGTTTTCCTTTGATTTGAGCCCATTGTATTTTTAATTTGAAGCTCAGTAGATACCAGTGAAATGAGTACCTTGTAGTGTATGCCAGCAAGCAATGGAAAAAACAGTCGTGATTTACTTTTATTATGTGGGGTTGTAACAAAGCACAAAGTTTCTTCTTTCAAGCCAAAAATCTGTTTCTGATTGAGGAAGTCCTTAAACCTCATATAAATGAAGTGTTTGGAAATACATGGTGCTAATCCCATAGCAGTGCATCCTGTCAGCTCACACCAATAGACAAATACTTATAAATAGCTATAAATTGTCTTAGTCAGGAGCCACAACCATTGAAAACAATAATGCTGAATCAATGACAGTGTTTGAGCAATTATTTCAGCACATGTCATATTATTATTAAGACTTTCCCCTCATTTTTCTTACTGCTGGTATTTTTTTATTTGTTTCTAGTAGGGATTATAATTTTCTGGAAATTAAACATATTATTTCTGGAAGATAATCATATCTTTTAGACAGAACCTTTTGAATATCTATAGAATTTTGGGTAATGTACACAGCATCCAGGTAAGCCATCATTATCCCATGTTACAAGGAGGATACTGAGGTTGGCTGGATAGTAAGCCTTTGATTGGGCTGAAATATGAGCTGGTGAAGTTTGAGCATAGATAGTTACAGATTACCTATACATGCCAAATCCAGCAGCATGGAGTTATGAGAAAGTGATATGTTGATTCTATTCCATATATGCAGGTTCAAATATGCAGAAAACTGAAGATACTGTGACTCAAAAGTCAAATGTCATTAATTTGTGCATTATATATACTTGTGTTTATGGATTTTCTTTTTTGTCCATTCATTTATTTCATTTTCTGTCCTCCAAAGAGCAAATATGTCTGACAAAGAGAGCCTGCCATTTTCCAAGGCATTCTGTTCCAGCTTTGAATAAACCTTATTGTCACCAATTTTTTCCTGGTATTCAATCAAATTTAAACCCATTCCTTTTTGTCCTGTCTTTTAAAACACCTCTGAACAATTCAGCTCCATTTCCACATGAGTTACCTGAAGACTGTTATCATAATTCTGATCAGTGTTTTCTTCTCCAAGTTAAACATACAAATGTTCTTTCTAAGTTTTTCTTTCCAGATATTTTATCATCTTGATTTCTCAGGAGTGCATTATAGTTGCATTTTGATTCTCAGGAATAGAGATCACCCATGTAAATGTGCAAGATGCTTTTGTTATATCCAATACACTTTTTAAAAAATAGGAAATTAAAAAAAACTGATCACAACTGACTTTCTGCCATCAAGAGAAAGAAGCCAATACTGGTGACTTCATTATGTGATGTAAAACATTTTCTGGAATTGTTAAGGTATTGAGATTTAACAGCTGACCAGCTGCAGTAAGGCTGGTGCAATGTAAGGCTGATACAATGAGAATGAATTAGCAAAGGTATTGCCGTTTTAAGACTATATATGGGTCCACAGAAGTCTTTACCACTTTAAGAGGTGTTTATATAAGGCAGCCATTAGAGGGCGTATTTTCTCTCTTTGTGTCCTGTATCCATTGCAGAGTTCTCTGTGTAGAGTTAAGAAGATTGATTGCTTGTCAGGTATTTGCCTATCACATATATTTCTGCATATGTCTTGTATATAAACCACTGTTAAATGTCTAAGTCTCTGTGTTTTGCTCCTGGTTGTCTCATAATAGTAGTCATGCTGCAAATGCTCTGACAGGAATGTGCCAGTCTTCTATACTAAATGGTTATTTTTAAGTCTAAAGAGATCAATAGACTGGGGTGTGATTTTTTTATTTAATAAAGATGCTTGTCTGTTTTTCACAGACCTTATGTTACAATTTCTTTTTCTGGCAGCAAAATTCATTGTCATTTTTCAAGTGACTTTATATAACAAAAATATTATCAGAACTGAGTTGCCTTGAAGCACGTGATACCTTTGTTGAACCTAGACTGATAGTTTCTTTAGTCTGTCTATCTCATATATAATATAGTAAGGTAATAAATATGAACCAGACAGGCAGTCTTTACACTACGCCTAGGAACATACTATAGAAAAATGGATTTATTAATACTTGACAGATGTCTTACTTGGCATTTTATGAAAAGTTAATCAAGTCCAATTGAAATTAATGCTCTATATTCAGGGGTTTCTTGAGGGGTTTCTATCTAAATTGGCATCTGGGTTGGTTTTGGGATGGGTTTTGGGAAATTGGTTTTGGGATGGGTTTCTTCCCAGTCCAGCGTACAGCCCTAAATTTCCCCGACATTAACTAAGCTGGATTCCTTTAACTTTCTGGATCTGCTAAAATCAGCTAAGGTCTGTCATCTGCTGAAAGTCATATGTAAAAACAAAATTATTCTGTTCTGTTCTGTTCTTTCCATTCCATTCTAGATCAATATTTCTTAAACTTGGAAACCTTTAAGATGTGTGGATTTCATCTCTCAGAATACCATTCTATGAGTTGAGGTTCATAAATCTTAAAGTTTGAAAAGTTTGAGAAACTGCAGTAGATAACTTATAATTCATTGAAAATAATTTGGGGAAATATTTTCCAATATTAAATTATACTGTAGAATTGCTATATAAATCTCCAAGAAACCAGACTTAGATGTTTCAAAGTATGTTCTGGAAAATATGCTCATTTTTAATCATCTGGCACTTGGTTCTTCATTAATTGTTTTTATTTTCATCCCACAGGACAAAACTTTATTCCATACTGTGAGCGGCAGCTGCATTGATTGCAATCCAGCAGAAAAGAAGATTTTCATGAATAGATGTGATCCTTTATCTGAAACTCAACAGTGGATTTTTGAGCATATTAATATGACTGTTATAGAAAAAAATATCAGCAAAGAAACCAGCTCTTAACAAGAAAAAAAACTGTTCTGTATAGATTGAAAACCATATTTTGGCCAGCATCTGGATTAGAGGAATCAGAAATTACATTTTCCTAGAGCCAGGAAATCTGTTGTGAAGATTAAGCAAATGCCAGGGCAGAAGCCAGCCATATATCACTGCAGATGGACAATAACTGAAGAACTTGGCTAAGAACATTACCAGCTGCTACTGAGGCTTAAAGTCTGCTGACAATTCCCTTGCTGGTCAAGGGAGAACTTTATTTAAAATAATGAAATGATTCAAATGCTCAGTGTGAATAAAGTTAAACAAGAGTTTTAGAGTTTCTCAGGTCAAACCCTGCTAATAGTGAGTAGGTACAATTAGTTGTTGTCGTATATGGGTAACTAATGGAGTGCATGACTGCTATGTGGGAGGTTCGAATGGGCATTGAACTAGCAACAACATGTATGAAATGCTGCCAGAATTGTGAAGGAGATGAAATGCTGCCAGAATTGTGAAGGAGATGTGTTCTAATGCCGTTTCATTCCCTCAGCAAATGTCCTGAGTCAAGAGGTTATCTAAATAAAGGGTCACAGTAGAGAATATTGACAGCCTTCTTGTTATGTTTCTTTTCAGTGTTGAATAGGGAATGGATTTATTTTTTTAAAGTAATTTTAGGGTTTCATTTTTGAATGAAGCATGAAAATGATTGTTATAGTTTTGAGATCCCATTTTTCTTTTGCAGTTCAACCAATTTCCATCAAAGCAATTAAATAAAATTTTGATCATTTTAAACAGTGTTACTGAACAATCACCTGAAGTCATTCATATCTAAGCCATCATTTATAAAACAAACCAAAAAGGATATAGAGAACTCATTTTCATCATCAGCATGTTGAGCATGTTGCAAATTTTTCAGAAAGAATTTCTTTTTGAAAATCTTCATTCTGTGTCTGTCATCTTTTAAGGAAATTCTTATAACTATTTTTAAATTGATAGAAAATGCATCATGAGTCTGTCAAGAAAAGCTATATCACCTGAAGCTGAGAGATGCTGTTTCACCGATATTAAGCCAGTTTATAGAGTTGTAGAAATAACTATTATCCAAAGTGATATATCCAATCCTTTGTAAGAATTAGGATTCCTAGAGGCACATGTGTTAGAAGAGTGGTTATATAAATTTGATAAACAAATAAAATAAGTCCATTGAAGTACACCATTACAGGAATCATATGATGTACCTCTTGATGGATTGTACCACTGTAGAGTCTGGAAATGAAAAGGCATAATCTTGAATGCTCTCCTTTAAGTTTTTGCTTAAATCCATGTTTTTTAAAAATTTACCAATCAATTGACCATATTAAAAATCAGCATCAGCCACAGTAAAATATAAGATAAGATACACTGAAGTTTGATAAAATATAATAAAATGTGATAAGATAAGATACACTGAAGTGAGATAAAATATCTATGGTGAAATAAAATAGAATTAAATATAGTAGATAAGATAAAGATAAAAAGTAAGATAAATGGTTTAATGAAAAATGGAAGAAGAAAATTTTATAAATTAAATAGATTAATTGTATCAACTATATAAAACTGATAAAAATGGAAATAGATATTCTATTCAATTCAGTTTATTACAGTCATAGACCAGAGACCAGAACAAATAAAAACACTCAGTAAATATACAATTAAAAGTTCTAGTATAAAATAATAAATAACAACTAAAATCTATGATAAAATCCAGTCTGTCAATTATACATGTTCTAAATCCATGTTGCCTGCAAGTGTGAGTGAGCATTGACATCTGCTATCTGAAACATTAGTAATCGCTTATACCATGTAGCTTTATTCCTAAGCATGATTATAAAGGCATTCTCTTTGATAGTGTGCCTAGCTATGGGGACAAAACTACCGTGTTTCTCATATAATAAGGCCAGGTCTTTTTTTTTTTTTTTTGAGCCCCGAAAAAATGGCTAGCCCGTCTTTTCGGGGGTGACTTAATTCCCCCCCTTGCATCTTCGGGTGGGCAGGCGGCGACAGCTTGGATGTTGACCTCGGCGTTGGTGGGGCACTTCGTATCGGGGTCAACGCAGGCAGCACCATATCCGGGTGTGCAACAAAAGTACTTCCTAACGGCAAGCCCCTCCACCATTCCCTCCCATTTCGCATGTTTTAATATAGGCCTTAATTTGGGGGGAGGGGCTTAATTTCATTTCATGCCTATAAAACATGCTGGGACTTCCTATTGGGGGAGGCCGTATTGTTGGAGAAACAGGGTATTAAGGCAGAACTGTGGTCATAGCAGAATAAAGATACTACTGAATCTGCCTCATAGCTCAAAGGAAAATGAAAAGATAGAATTAAAAACAATACTGTATTGTAACATGTATTGTTGTATAGTATTGTAAATATTGTAAAAATAATATCATAGCTTAAAAGTATTTTTAGCTTTTGCCACTTCAAAAATGAAAGTTATTATTTTAATAGCCCTTTGATTTGAAAGTTATTTTTATATAGATCTCAAGTGAGAAAAATAATTTTAAAAGATTCTTTCTTGGATAGTAAAATCTACATTTTATTTCACTGTAACTGAAAACGGAAATTAAAAGGAACCAAGAATGTGGATAATACTTTTAAGAGATCATAGATATAAACTTAGGAATTTTTAAATTGAAGAGATTGATATATGTAAATTGTAAATTGATATTGTAAATAGCAGATCTGGATATCCTAAAAACTAGTTGTGAGTGCCTCTTCAACCCTATGTTATGGGATGCACAACTTGATATTATATAACAAAAATAAGACATGCTGATATTGTTTGTGAGTAGACTTATTTCACAAGGGGTGTTTAACTTAGGCAGCAAATTTTCTTCTAAGAAATTTCTTATTTCATGGAATTCAGTAAAATTAAGCACCTAACTGTCCACAGGACTAGTATGTGCTTCATAAATCTTAGAAGATAGGTATGATATTGTGTTTTTGTGCAGAGCCTTAAGAGGTGGAATTTTTTAAAAGCAAGATAAATGATGTTAAACTTTCCAGCAGTGGATTGAGGTGTATTTTAGAGAGATATTTAGTCTCTTTTTTCAATAGCATTTATAATGGGAGTTACATAGAATCATTTGGTACCTGCCTTGCAACGGTGCTTTAGCAAAGCCCTTCTAATGCTTCACCTACCTACCTCAGGTATGAAAGTAACATGAATAAGAAACATGCTGACTTGGACGTTGCCTGGATTAACAAGGTGTGCCCTAGATATTTGGGAACCAGGCCAATCTGCTAATGTGGCCTACTGAAATAAACCATACACAGATAAGACAAGAAATCATGGAATCAATGGAATACTACTACAACAGTAAACTAATGAGAGAGGATATATAAAATGTAATAAGGAACTATGGGTGTACATAAGACCTATACCCACAGTAACCGATCAACAGTCAAGCTATACCCAAGGATGAAGTTCAGTCCAGTTCTTTATTTGCTTATATGCAATAGACAGAATTTTGCCAGTTTAAACCCTTACTGATCTCACTATAACAGATATAAACAGTGAGATTCTATGAAGCAGTTGTCCTTACTCTCTTCTTCTGTGTCCTATCTAGCTCAGGGCTCTTGTTCGTTCCTTTTTCTGGGTTCTCTTCATCCTGGGAAACTGCTGGTCCATTGTACCAGCTCCCTGTCTGTGGGCACTATCTCTCACAAAAACAGCTAGTCACATAATATTTCAACTTAATGAAGAGGAAGCTGCTCTCACAATTTAAAATACACAAATTAAACATTGCATTCCAGACTGAAGAACATGTGGAAAAACAAGTGGGTGTGCAGCAAACACCTGAAGCTGGAGCATCATTGCCAATCTTTCCATTACAAAGCTCAGCAGCTGACTGAGGCATAAAACTAGTTACAGTCAACCATTGAGACCAGTTACCAAGGCTTGAGGGTGAAGTACCATCAGATAGTATGCTAGAAGATGTTAGTAGAGTCCTCATGACAATCCCTACAACCATCATAACTCAAAGGAATGGACTGTTATACAGTATATCTTTGGTAATACTTGAAATGCTTGGCTACACATCAAGAAGAAGAACAGTACATGCCACCAACATCAGACCTCAGAAAATGGGGTTGAAAGCTAATATTAAGGCAACTGGAACAGAAGTTAACCAGCAGGTAAAACTATAAAAGAGGGTGGGGATTAAGGATAAGATTGGCTTCTGAAAAAACACAGGCGCTTGACTCCATCTGAAGCTTGATAAACAGCTAACAAAGGCCCATAGCACTGGCTACCAGACAAAGGAAATACACTAGGGAAGCAGAGACCAAGAAAATAAATGCTCTGTTCTCCAAAGAATCATCCAAGGCAGGGGTGTCAAACTCACAGCATCACGGCATTGTCACGTGACATATCGGGACTTTTCCCCCCTTTGTTAACCCAGGCATGGGCGTGGCCAGTGTGTGACGCATCCAGCCCACGGGACGTGAGTTTGACAGTCCTGATCCAAGGTGTAATCCCAATTGCACTGCAATAACACAGTAACATCAGAGCCACAGAGAGTAAAAACTGAACAGTAGTAGAAGAACATATGGGAGAAAGAGAAAACACCAGTGCAAAGAAGCTGCAGAACCTAAAACCAAATCACAACTTCCTCCCAGAATAGGAGCCAAGTACTATCACAGTAACAGTCATCCAAGAGTGGGTCATAAACATGAAGAGCTAGACCATAATCTCATACAAAGCTGGTTTCTTTAATGCTAAAAAGTTTAATTATATTTTAAGACAATTTTTTCAAGCATCAGTGTGTGCATAAAATTATTTTAAAATCTGTACAGTACACTAACTGTTCTTAGTAGCAAAGTCATATGTTTCTCTTTAAAAAAAAGTTAAGCACAGATAAAAGAGTAACTGATTCTTCTAACAAGCTAAGCCTTAACAGTGTGTTCAATCAGATGACAACAGTGTAATAGCTGTCTTATATGGTGAAACAATATCTCCTTGTAATAAACACCAACTACAGTGATGTGATATTTATTTGCAATCTTACATCCAACAAATGACTCCAAGTAAGAAGGACAAAGAAAACATCTTTGTTTATTGCTAGCAGTCAATTTAGTGATGGGGGATACTAGAGAAGCATTTGGGGTTCTTTATCTTCTATTCTTGTTCCTGTCAATTTAAATCTGTACATCTCAATATCTAAGTTAATCTTATCTCAGTTTTAAAGATAAGTAACTCCTGTAATGACTACAGTAAAGGGTGATCTTTCTAAGCAGCAAGGTAAGAACTGAGTAACACAAGTTGCTTGGCAGCAGTTCCTAGTAGTTTACTGTTTTGACTAGTTTTATCATATATGGGAGGATGAGGAAGAAGTCAGAGATATTCTATAATTGTATAATCTTAATTTCATTTATGGAAAATAAATTGTTGGGCATTGTATTTTCTTCCCAAAGAG